TGATTCCTTAGAGCTCAGCCATTTTGGCATACAGTTGGGGAGTTCTGCTCAGTGAAACTGTTTCTGAGTTTTTGCAAAAGCTCGCGCATTGTCTTTCTTCTGCCCTTTTCCGGTTGTTCTAACAAGCATAGTGTGCACGGAGTCAGGCGCAATGATTGTGTGTAGATCTGCACCGATCTGCTCCACAGAGCTTTGCCTCAAGCTGCCCGAAGAGCCATCCTGTGGCCTTGGGCCATGGAGTCCTTCAAGGCCCTTCTAGCGGGCGACACCGATGAAGAAAATCAGCCCGACATCGTGCAGCTGAGTGGCCTGGTTCCACCGTTGCAGATCGACACAGCTCAGTGCACTATGGTCATCATCATGCCCCGAAACAAGACTGCTGGCGGTGCAGTGGACCACAAGGAGATGGTGAACGACCCTCTGAGCAAAGCCAAACGTATCTTTGACATTCTCAGTAACGATGAAAGTTGCAAGACCTTGGAGAAGCTAGAGCGCATCAAGTCGGACACGCCCATGAGCATGGCAGACTACCAGGCCAGGTTGCATGGCACAGCGACGCTTGAATGGTAAGTCAAGTGTCAAGTTAGCACGAGTTCCGAACCGTCTCTTTCGGAATAGCTGGGAATGCTCTCATTCACAACACCACACATACGGCCAGAACTGTTGCCGTTCCATGGTCACTCGCTGTGTGGTCGTCGGAGTTCTTATCAGTAGCATTGCCAGGTTCTGCGAGGAATGGCGCATTGTCAGAATCCCCCATAGGCGCTTTACGATTCAAAACCACATGAATGCACGATCGAGGCCGACGTTCGCAACCGGCTGCTCGAAATTCTCGAGTCTTCTGGTCTCCAGGCGAGGACTCCAGCTCACTACAGGTCGTGGACAGCTGACCCTGAAGCTTCCCACCATTCCCCCAGCTCCCAGCAGACCGAAAGCCCCGAAGTCCTCGCATGGGGCCCACACCAAACTTGAATTTCGAAAGATTGAACTGGAGGGGTTTTAGATTCTAGCCAAAGATCCGTTGTAGGAGGATCCAACGTGCTGAGCTTCGCCACAGGGGTATCATCCGAGCTCTAAGCCCTAAATGCCCCAACCTCTAAACCCTAAACGCTCCACAACCTGACAGGTCCAGCATT